GGGGATTCTTTGGAGGAAGTGGGACTTCTGTGGAGGAAGTGGGGTTTCTCTGGAAGAAGTAGGGTTTTCTGGAGAAAGTCGGACTTCTATGGAAGAAGTAGGATTTCTCTGGAGAAAGTTGGGTTTCACTGTCAAAAGGGTGTATTTCTGGAGAAAGTAGAACTCTGGAGGAAGTGAGGTTTCTCTGGAGGAAGTGGGGTTTCTCTGAAGACAAAGTGGGGTTTCTCTGGATGAAGTGGAACTTCTCTGGAGGAAGTAGGACTTCTCTGTGTGAAGTTGGGTTTCTCTGGATTAAGTGGGACTTCTCTGGAGGAAGTAGGACTTCTCTGGATAAATTGGGACTTCTCTGGAGGAAGTGGGATTTCTCTCGAGGAAGTGGGACTTCTGTGGAGGTAGTGAGACTTCTGTGGAGGAAGTGGGATTTTTCTGGAGATAGTGGGACCTCTTGGAAAAAGTGAGACTTCTCTGTAGGAAGTAGTGTTCTCTCTGAAGGTAGTGCAGTTTTATGGATGAAGTGCAACTTCTCTTGTGGAAATAGGGTTTCTCTGAAGGAAGTTGGTTTCTCTGGAGATAGTGTTACTTCTCTGGAGGAAGTGGGACTTCTGTGGCAGAAGTGGGGTTTCTCTAGAGGAAGTGCTGTTTCTCTGGAGTAAACAGGACTTCTCTGGATATAGTATTGTTTCTCTGGAGGAAGTTGGATTTCTCTGGAGGATGTGGGGTTTCTCTGGATGATGCCAGGTTTCTCTGGAGGAAGTGGTTTTGCTCTGGAAGGTGTGATGTTTCTCTGGAGGAAATCGGACTTCTCTAAAGGAAGTGGGATTTTTCTGGAGGATGTGGGACTTCTCTGGAGAAAGTGGGAGTTCTCCAGGGAAAGTGGGAGTTCTGTAGAGGAATTGATATGTGTCTGGATGAAGTGGGACTTCTCTGGAGGAAGTAGAGTATTTCAGGAGGAAGTGTCATTTCTCTGGATGAAGTGGGACTTCAGTGCAGGAAGTGGGACATCTTGGCAGAAGTGGGGTTTCTCTGGAGGAAGTTGGGTTTCACTGGTGAAAAGGTGAATTTCTGGAGAAATTGGAACTTCTCTGGCAGAAGTGGGGATTCTCTGGAGGCAATGAGGTTTCTCTGGAAGAAGAGGGACTTCTCTGGAGGAAGTAAATTTTTTCCAGAGGATGTGGGACGTCTCTGGATGAAGTAGAACTTCTTTGGAGGAAGTGGGATTTCTCTGGAGAAGTGTGGTTCCTCTGGAGGAAGTGGGGTTCCTCTGGATGAAGTCAGACTTCTCTGGAGGAAGTGGGAAATCCCTGGAGAAATTGGGACTTCTTTGGAGGATATGGACTGATGGGAGATGCAATTATGTATATATGTTTCTCATACTGGTTAATAATAAAGCACTGTTGGCCAATAGGAAAGGAAGATAGGAGGGACAAGGAGACAAGGAGGAAATAGGAAGTAGTAAGGAGGAGCCAAGATGGAGAGTCTGGAGAAAGCAGTATGCTGCCGGCTCCGGGGTAAGAGAAATTCATAGATCAGCAGAAATGGGTTAATAATTAATGCAGAGCTAGCCGATAAGAAACAAGTAACTTGGCCAACAGTATTGTATCAAATACAGAGTCTCTGTGTATTATTTGGGGCTGGCGCGGTGGCAGGTCAAGACCGGGAGGTGGCAGGCGGAAAAATCATACTCTTACAATGGACTTCTCTAGAGCAAGTGGGGTCTCTCTGGAAGAAGTGGGGTTTCTCTGGAGGAAGTGGTGTTTCTCTGGATCAAGTTGGGTTTCTCTAGAAGAAGTGGGACGTCTCTGGATTAAGTGGGACTTTCCTGGAGGAAGTGGGGTTTCTCTGGAGCAATATGGTTTCTCTGGAGGAAGGGGGACTTCTCCGGATGATATCAGGTTTCCCTGTAGGAAGTGGGTTTGCTCTGGAAAGTGTGGGGTTTCTCTGGAGGAAATGGACTTCTTTGGAGGAAGTGGGCTTTCTCTTGAAGCTGTGGGGTTTCTCTGGGGGAAATAGAACTTCTCTGGAGGAACCGAGGTTTTTCAGAATGATATGGTACTTCTCTGGAGGAAATGGGGCTTCTGTGGTTGAAGTAGGGTTTCTCTGGAGGAAGTGGAACTTCTCTGGAGGTATTGGGGCTTATCTGGAGGAAGTGGGACTTCTCTTGAAGAAATCAGGTGTTTCTGGAAGAAGTGGCTATCTTTGGAGGAAGTATGCTTTCTCTGGAGGAAGTGGGTTTCTCTAGAGAAAATGGGTTTTCTCTGGAGGCAATATGGTTTCTCTGGAGGGAGAGGGACTTCTCTGGATGATGTTGGGTTTCTCTGAAGGAAGTGGGTTTGCTCTGGAGGGTGTAGGGTTTGTCTGGAGGAAATTGGACTTCTCTGGAGGAAGTGGGATTTTTCCGGAGGATGTGGGACTTCTCTGAAGGAATTGCAAATTCTCTGGAGGAAATGTGCTTTCTCTGGAGGCTGTGAGGTTTCTCTGAGGGAAATGGAACTTCTCTGGAGTGAGTGTGGTTTTTCAGAAAGATGTGGTACTTCTTTAGAGGAAGTGGGGTTTCTCTGGAGGAAGTAGAGTTTCTCTGGAGGAAGTGTCATTTCTCTGAATGAAATGGGAGTTCTTTGGAGGAAGTGGGACTTCTGTGGAGGAAGTGGGGTTTTCTGGAGAAAGTCAGACTTCTATAGAAAAAGCTGGATTTCCCTGGAGGAATTTGGGTTTCACTGGTGAAAGGGTGAGTTTCTGGAGAAATTCGAACTTCTCTGGAGGAAGTGAGGTTTCTCTGAAGAAAGTGGGGTTTCTCTGGGTGACGTGGGACTTCTCTGGAGGAAGGGGGATTTCTCTAGATGAAGTTGGGGTTCTCTGGAGGAAGTGGAACATCTGTGGAGGAAGTGGTATTACTGTGGATGAAGTTGAGTTTTTCTGGAAAAAGTGGGACTTCTCTGTAGGATGTGGGATTTCTCCAGAAGTTTGGTGTCTCTGGTGGAAGTGCAACTTCTCTGGTGGAAATAGGGTTTCTCTGGAGGAAGTGGGACTTTTGTGATGAAGTGCAACTTCTCTGGAGGAAGTGTGGTTTCTCTCAATGAAGTGGGGTTTCTCTGGAGGACGTACGAGTTCTCTGAATAAGTAGGATTACTCTGGAAGAAGTTATGTTTCTCTGGAGGAAATGTGACTTCTCTGTAGAAATTAGAACTTCTCTGGAGGAAGTTGGATTTCTCTGTATGAAGTGGGACTTCTATGGAGGAAGTCAGACCTCTCTCCAGGAAGTGAGGTTTCTCTGGATTAAGTCGAGTTTCACTAGAGGAACTGGGACTTCTTTGGAGGATGTAGAGCATTTCTGGTGGAAGTGGGATTTCTCTAGTGGAAGTGGAGTTTCTCTGGAGGAAGTGGGACATCTCTGGAGGAAGTGGGCTGTCTCTGGATGAAGTGCTGTTTCTCTGGATTAAGTGCAACATCTCTGGAGGAAGTAAGGTTTCTCTGGAGGCAATGGGATTTCTCTGGAGGAAAGTGGGACTTCTATGAAGAAAGTGGGACTTGTCTTGTCGAAGTGCAACTTCTGTGGAGGATATGGCACTTCTGTGGAGAAAGTGGGGTTTTTCTGGAGGAAGTGCGGATTCTCAGGAGGAAGTGGGGCTTCTATGGAGGAAGTAGGGCTTATCTGGAGAAAGTTGGGTTTCTGGGGAGAAAGTGTGATTTCTGTGGAGAAAGTGGAACTTCTCTGGAGGAAGTATGGCTTCTCTAGAGGATGTGGGATGTCTCTGGAGGAAGTGGGGTTTCTCTGGAGGAGGTCGGACTTCTCCACAGGAAGTGGGGCATCTCTGGAATAATTGGGATTTTTTTTTGGAGGACATGGGACTTCTCTGGAGGAAGTGGGGTTTCACTAGAATAATTGAGACTTTTCTGGAGGAAGTGGGGTTTCTCTGGATGAACTTAGATTTCTCTGGATGAAGTGGGACTTCTGTGGAGGAAGTGGGACTTCTCTGTAGGAAGTGGGGTTTCTCTGGGTGAAGTGGGACTTCTCTGGAGGAAGGGGGATTTCTCTAGATGAAGTTGGGGTTCTCTGGAGGAAGTGGAACATCTGTGGAGGAAGTGGTGTTACTCTGGATGAAGTTGAGTTTCTGTGGAGGAAGTGGTGTTACTCTGGATGAAGTTGAGTTTCTCTAGAAAAAGTGGGACTTCTCTGAAGGATGTGGGATTTCTCCAGAGGAAGTTCGGTGTCTCTGGTGGAATTGCAACTTCTCTAGTGGAAATAGGGTTTCTCTGAGGGAAGTTGGTTTCTCTTGAGGAAGTGGGACTTCTGTGGAGGAAGTGGCATTTCTCTGGAGGAAGTGGGACTTCTCTTGAGGAACTCAGGTGTTTCCGGAAGAAGTGGGCTGTCTTTGGAGGAAGTATGCTTTCTCTGGAGGAAGTGAGCTTTCTCTGGAGGAAGTGGGACTTCTGTGGAGGAAAGGAGATTTCTGTGGAGGAAGTGGGCTATCTCTGTATAAGTGGGCCTTCTCTGGAGGAAGTGGGGTTTTTCTGGAGGAAATGGGGTTTCTCTGGATTATGTGGGGCTACTCTAAAGGAAGTGGGACTTCTTTGGAGGAAATAGGGCTTCTCTGAATGAATTGGGCAGTCTCTGGAGGAAGTCGGGCTTTTCGGGAGGTATTGGGGCTTTTCTGGAGAAGTAGGTTTTCTCTGCTGGAAATGGGACTTCTCTGGAGGAAGTGGGTTATTTCTGCAGCAAATGGGGCTCCTCTGTTTGAAGTGTGCTTTCTCTCGTGGAAGTGTGTTTTCTCTGGGGGAAGTGGGGCTTCTCTGGAGGAAGCCCATCACCACCAGCAGGACTTGAGATTTTTATACCTGTACACCATTTTGGTTCCCTCTCTACCTCCTGTTCTGCAAAAAAGGAATAAGGTAGAACTCCATATTCCTGAGACTGGAGCCTCTTGCAATATAAGCCCTTCCTCAGCTTCTTGTCAAGTATTGGTCACATTCACGAGAAAGGAACACAGCATCCCACAGAGGATTACCAAACTGTTTATCTAAATCACTGTACTGAGAGGAATCTGGGAGGACACTAACTGTGGGTTCCACCAGATGTTTCTGGATAACTACCAATTGCCTCACTGCATTGTTCAACAACGCCAGAATCCAAAATTCATTCACCTGCCCTCATCTTTCCACTTGTCTTTTCTTTATGGGCCAAACTTGGAGGGCAAAATGTTCTGGGCCCCTGAGATTTTTTTCTTTTGATTCACATTACAGAGGTAAGGTGGCTAATTTATACATCACGGGAAACAAAACAGCAGTGGATATGGCCGACCCCAGACAGGTGTACAGAACTATTGGCAGATCTGGGTAGTGTCCTTGAAGAATCCCAATTACTGCAGGAATCGCCATTTCTCCCAGGGTACCACCAATCACAAAGAATGCTGCAGATTTTCCACTGATGCTGGTGTACTGCTCAATCCAGGAAACGCCACTGGGAAATGTGGTTGCCATCGAGGCTCCATACACAGAAGTTGCAATCCACAGACAAAGACGGCTCTTGTCAAAAAGCACCAGAAAGAAAGTTGAGACAAGGCTGCCAATGTTACTCAACACAATCATGGTTCCAGGCTGTAGGACTGTTGCAAAGAAGATGGCCAGGCCCCTGCAGGCAGCAAAGGTCCCCCAGAAGATGGAGTTCAAGCCAGCTGCTTCGCTTTCTTCCATGCCAACATGGGTGGTCGCGAAGGAGAACACGTAAGAGCCATAGGTCACCTCGGCTCCAACGTAAAAGAAGAAGAAGATGAAGAGGAGACAGAGCAGGGCCCTGTGATATTTAGCTCTTCGAGTTCTCTGAACAGACGCTGTGGAATTTCTCTGCCTTGAGCTTTTCTTACAAAACAAAGAAAACAGAAAGACAGAAACTACTAAAACATAGGTTCCGATGGAAGCGTAAGCCCACAGCAGGTTCATGTCCTCGGGTACCGCAAACAGAGAGTCTGAGGTGGCTTCAGAGGACCGGTTCATCACTAGAGGGTCAAAGCCGGGCTCTGTGTGGTTCTGAGTGGAGGCTGATGCACCCCAGGCCAATTTAGCCAGCAGGGGAGCCAGGAAGGCACCCAAGGCGAAACTGAAGTGCAAGGCTTGCATGTGTGGGGCTCCTTTGTCCCCCCAAAGGTCCAAGATGAGGACGTTTGCACCTGCCAATGAAACATGGAGAAAATCATCGGTTAGACATAGTAACTTAGTAAAATTACAGAAGACCAGTACTCTGCAGCTAAGAGTACTTACTGCTCTTTCAGAGAACCAGACTTGGGTTTCCAGCACCTAAGTCTGGTGGCTCACAAGCCTCTATAACTGCAGTCCCCAGTGGAAGTAGCAACCTCTCGTCTCCTTGGACACCTGCACTCACATGTATACACACACATAGACACAAATATATACACATAATAAAAATAAAAATCTATAAAATATTATAAAAACAAAAAAGTTTCATTTCTTGTGGGATAATCCCTTTGTACACTGTGAAGATGTGTCTCTGCCTAAGGAGCTTTCTGATTGGATTAATGAAGAGCTGAATGGCCAACAGCCAGACAGGAGAGAATAGGCAGGACTTGTAGGGAGAGAGAGGAACTCTGGGAAGAAGAGAGGCAGGTTTAGCCAGCAAGATGTGGAGCAAGTCAGACATACAGTTTGGTGGAGAGGTAATAAGCCATGTTTCATGATGTAGATTAATATAAGTGGGTTAATTCGAGTTATAAGAGCTAGTTGGGAACAATCCTGAGCTAAGGTCAAGTATTCATAATTAGTGAGTCTCTGTCATTATTTGGGAACTGGTGATCCAAAAAAAGACCAACCACATCCAGTGTCATTAGAAAGCAGATGGATATGCATTGCACAGTGTGGAGATGACAGATGTTCTAAGTTATCAAATTTCAGCTGTGAACTGATTCTGTAAAGATCTCTAGTGCACCACCAAGCTCTATGCATCATAGTGTCTCATAGATATGACCTACAGGATGGTGGTCACCCTGTAGAGCCAGGCACATTTGCAAAGGTTTTTTTTTTTTTACAAAATAGTGTGAATACCACAGCAGGGGTATAATATTTATCCATGTACTTGTTACATACACCATAAATGCATTACACATTTTATACTATATTTAGTAAATATATTTCAGACTTTAATAAATGCCTTGCATGTCTTCAGCTTTATGTACTTGGAGCTGGCAACCACCACAGATTATTACAGATTATTCACTTATGAGCAAAGCACTCAGTTAGGAACTGAGCTCACCCTGTCAGAGCAGCTGCAAAGTGAAAAACATCACCTCTGTGGCTCTTTTTAAAAATCAGACAAACACATAATTCCACCCTGTAATTTTTCAACCAAATGAAGCCTAAAGCATAAGATACCCCCACTAAGACTAAGGAGGGTAGGCATGGGAAGCTGAAACCAGAGCAAACAAACTTCATGGACGTTGTTCAAGACGCTTCAAAAAATGTGAGGATGCAGCAACCTCTGACATAAACTGAGAAATGTCGTACACACATGTGTCTCCGAACTCAAAAATGGGTGTGTTTTATGTTCGGCATCTGTTTCTATGCTTCTACAGTTCAGTTCCAACCTCCGTTTGCTGTAATACGCCGTTAATTCTTCTTTTAATATGGTCAAATCTATCCCAAAATGAAAGCCCTCTAACTTACACTGTAGTTATCCATTAGGAACGGATCCTTTCACATTTGGATAGTGAAAATCAATACTCCCTCACAGGGAAATATCGTCTAGTTCACTTAACCACCAACTACTGAGAACCAGCGCTGCTGCTAGAAGGGTGAACGTAAATGGCGGACACTACAACCCTCACATGGCTCCATTTCATTTCACCAGTCTTGCAGGCGATAGTGTGATTTTATCCACTTTCCCCAGGGACAACACTCACAGCCACTAACCTGTATCCAGAGCGCCAAATGAAACACCAAATACAGACATCATGGCAATCAGTAATGTTGCTGTCTTGCAGAAAGGAATGAGATAAAGACCAGTTGTGGTAGCCACCATGGATACCCCTGAGTTAAGGACAAGAATGTCAGTTATAGAAATAGCATTCATGCAGTCAGACCAACGTCCTGAAAACGAAAGTGGAGGTCAGGTCATCGTGTGAGAACTGGGTAACGGGAGGGTCTCTACAAGTGGATTATGTCTTATAAATATGTTACCTTTATGAATTAAAAGTATTTAAAATAATTACTGGGTGTGGTGGTGTAATCCCAGCATTTGGGGGCAGAGACAGATGAATCTTGTGAGTTTGAGCCCAGTTTGGTCTATGTAGTAAGTTCTAGGACAGCCAGGGCTACATAGAGAAACCCTGCCTCAAATATATATATTTGGCATAAGTACCGTTGTAATACTATAAATATAAACACAACACAACAATCTTTCTAACAAATAAGATAGGCTGAAAAAAACTTATAGGTTTCACATTTCTAAACTGAAAGGAATTTGATATAACAAAACGGCAAAGGAAAGTAGAAGTTTGTAGTAAAACTTTAATCATGGCTGGAGGAGACGGCTTAGTGAACTGCCTGGGACCTTACAAACGAACAATCGTGCACACCTGTGGTCTCAGAGCTGAGGAGGAGGATGTTTCCTGGGGCTTGCTAGCCAGCTAGTCTAGGCCAGATGGTAGGCTGCAGGTTCAGTGAGGGATCCTGTCTCAAAATAGAAAGGAAGGGCCTGGAGAGATGGCTCCATCTGTAAGGGTACTTTGCTTCCAAGACTGGTGGCCTAAGGTTGGTCCCCAGGACCTCTATGGTAGAGGTTGTCCTGAACTTTCTGAAAGCTGGTGTAACCAGATGCGTCCAACAGAATTTCCTACCACCTTCAGCCCCAGCTTCAGGCCAGCATCCAGGCTGCTCTAAAGCTGCCTGTGCTACCATCCAGGCAAACCTGGCTCCGCCCCTTAGGGACCTGGCGAAGTGTGCCCCCAGTGATCACGGCAGGCGGTACCCTGGCTCTGTACCAAGGTGCAAAGGTCCCTTTAAGAGACAAGCTCCGCCCACTCCTGCTTCCTTTTCCCTGAAGAGGCAGGCAGATCTCTCCCTGTCTGTCTGTCTGTCTGTGTGTCCCTCTTTCTCTTGCTCCTCTCTCCCTTCCCTTTTCCACTCCCTCCCCTCCCCCCAGTAAAGCTTCCCACGTAACCTCTGTCTGCCTGGTGTACTGTCCTGCCATGCCAAAGGCCCACCTGTGTGTGCTACAGAGCATGGGCAGCAAACCGTATGTACCCTGCTCTGTCCAGACCTTTGATCAGAATTCCAGGCTTCCTGGGCCTGATAACAACACCCTGTTTAACCTGAAAAGCTACATCACCCCTTATCACTAACAAAAGTTAGGTTCGAAGGAAACTAGTTCCTACCAAAGGAGCCATTTCCCTATCATTGTCAAAGACAAATGGTTGTATATGTTAGCAAGCCAAAGCTCATGCTGGCCTCCAGGGTTACAAATACCTGGTAAAATCAGAGTTACAAAAAGGGATACATCACCCTTTAGCCCTACATAAATGTGAATCGATGATTTGATTCATGTGTTCTAGAGTCAAGGTGAAGCGATATGTCAGAAGAGGCCCCAGTTTATGCCAGGCGTCCATCTTGGTGCCCGCTGGCCATTTGTCTGACTCCAGCCCCGGTAACTCTGACTCAGTGGCCAGAGATGTACAGCTGTGACTATCTACTTGTTATCACATGACTAGCTGCTGTTTTTCCTTCTGTAACTTGCTTACACAGACACCCAAGGATTGTTTTCAGTTGCCTTAACCATGCCACTTGGCAGGACAGAACAGCCTTGCTGGCTTGCGTGGACAGGAAAGGTCCTCCTCGGGTGGTTTTTCCCTTTGAAAGTCCTTCCCCTTACCCCTCCTTCACAGCAATCTCAAGTTTGGCCCAGACACGGTTCATCCTGCTAGCAGCTAATCAAATAATTTTCCACTTTTGTTGATTCTTTGAGATTTCACATCTCCCTGTCCCGCCCCTGTATCTGCCCTCCATCCTTGCAACCTCCCCTGCAAAAGCAAAACAAAATTTAAAAGGAGAACCAAAAACCAAAGCAAACAAACAAAACAAAAAACAAGCCAAAACAACAACAACAAGACAGAAAATAAACAACCAAGCTAAATAAATACATAAATGAAAAGAAGCATCTTGCCGTGGAAGCTCTAGTGTGGCCCCTTGAGGCAGGCAGTTTAGCCTTTAGTCCGTCCACCTTACTGCAGTCCCTACCGTGGCTCGTTGGACTGGCTTGAGGTTTCTGGCTTCTGCTGCACCGCTGACAAGGGGCTCTCACTGGGGCTCGCGCCTGGGTGTCCTGCTGTGCTGTGTGGTGGGGATCCTGCAGTTTGGGGTCTGTAGGTTCACCCCCCTTCACGTGCTCCAACGGTTCACAGACGAGGTGGTGTGTTGGGGTGGGCCGACTCGTAGCCCTGGTTCTGGGCCTGGGTGGTAGCTGGGTCTGTCAGCTCACTAGCTCACCCTGGTAGTGACTACCAGGGTGGGGTGAGCTCTCTAGCATTGCCTTGGGAGCTCGCCCGGTGCAGCCTACACCCCGGATCGCTCTGGATTGGACCGTTCTCCTGCTCACAGGCCCTTGGGTCCGGCTCACCCACACTCACGCCAAAGCAATAGGTGTGGGGGTACAAGGTGGGGTCTGCTCTCAGGCCCTCAGTGCTGGCTCAGCTGTGTCCCAGCAGCAGCAGAGCCAGCTCCAGTGTGTGCCCTGTCAGGTGGCATGGTCGCCCTCCCGTGTGCTGCTGAGAGACAGGTGAGGCGCACAGCCGGACAGGGGCGGGGCCATCTTTCCTCACGCCCATTCCTCTCCCCGATTAAAGTAAAACGATAAATTAAAAAAATGCTTGAAATAAATGAGTGTGGCAGATAGCAAGGGAAGTACAAGAGACGCGTTTGGGGGTGGGAGGGTAACTCAGTGGTAAACACAGATTTCAAGACCCGGGCCTAGAGCTTGACTCTCTCACAGCAAACTGCAGACACACATACGTTCGTTAAGCTTATTCGGAAAGAAGAGGTATTTTTTACTTATTCGTCAGCAATTGCAGCATGAGGTCTTTGTGCTCGCACATGAGCACTGGGGAAACCAGGAATGCTGAGCACACAGGTTTGTCTCTCCAACTGGAGAGATGTGTACCTGCTTCCTCCCCCCCCCAAGGCTGGGAGCGGATGTTGTTAATAGCCCAGAATATCATGTTTACCCCAGATACTCCTTCCTAGACTTTTACTTTGAGCACTTTCTCAGTCAGTAGAACCCATCCTTATGGGAGATATCACATGTTCTATGACCAAGACCACACTTGACCTTCCCCTAGTCCCTTAAGCTGTAGAACCCATCTTAACAGAAGAAGTCACATGTATTTTGCAAAAGGGTTTTGATGTCGTCACAACTTCAGATTTATTGTGAACATGGTTTGAGGGCAGTGTTACCGGGAAACTTTTTTCAAAACCTGTACTGGACTTAAACATCTAAGAAATAAAGTGCCTGGTGTTGGACTCTAGGAGTTTGACCAACATTAGCTAAATACATCATGTTGAACTGGGTTCCCTTGTTGCCTTACTTGGATCATTATTCTACCAATTATGGCCTTTACAGGGAACCCCACAAATAATAAACCACTTTCCTTTCTTCCGCAGAATTAATGGGAATCTAAATATCCTATAAACAAAATCAATTTATACAGTCGTGAGTGTATTAAGAGCTTTGCCATCATTTCCAGAATATGGAAAAGCCATTGGCTCATTGTGGTTGACGTGGAGAAACTCGACAAAAATGCAGGCTATCAACAGCTCACCCACCGCGTTTCCTGCCTCCTCATGTTCAATCCGGAGCCTGGCCAGGTGAGGAGAGCTCATTCTAACCTTTGTGGTCCTGGGAACGCCGCACTATCACCAAATACGCAGAGCTGCCTGGTCACAATGTGTGCCCTGATTGGTGCCTGAAAACTGCAGACACACAAACCTGAGAACCAGCGAGTTTCCAGAGGGCTCAGGACAGCCAAGGTAGGAACAGGAACCACGGAAGCCCAGTTGCCAGGGAGGATGCCCTCACACTGTCTGTCGCTGAGTATGAACTGAGGCTGTGCTTTTCATACCCAGAGTCAAGTTGCAAACAAAAGCTGGTGTTTACTCACCCAAAAGCAAAAAGTGATTCATGCAGTCGAAAAGCACCCCGCCCACCACGGAGCCACACAAGTAGCCGAGGGCACGGCCCACGAATATTTCCGAAAGGCTGCTGACGTCCCGGTTCACATTTCTTGCCAGGTCTGGAAATGTGGGTCCCAATATGGCAACGGTCACCCCCTGAAATTAAAAATGTGAAAGATTTACTTGGATTTCACTTTTGTCTACTCCCAAACAAGTGAGGCATGGGTTACAAAGCAGAAACTTATTTTAGGGCACATTGGGAAAAATTTTTACAATGATGACACTAATATTACCAGAGCCAAAGGCCCTGGTTGATTTCCATCATTTCAAAAATCTTTCCCTCCAAAATTATTTAATTTTAAAAAAATTAAATATTTATTTACTTTTATTTTGTTTGTGGATGTTTTACATCCCATGGAAGTGGAGTTGTGGACGGCTGTTAGCCACCATGTGGATGATGAGAGTTGAACCCAGGTCCTCTGGGAGCATAGCCAGTGTTCTTAACTGCCGAGCCATCTCTCCAGCCAAAAATCATTTCATTATTACAGCTTTTCCCTACTTAAATCACGGTTAACAAGCAGCTGGAAATAAGCCAGTCTGTGGTTGGGCTTGGGAGGCAGAGGTCCTTGGGCCTGTGAGTTTGAGGCCAGCCTGGTCTATGTGGTGAGACCTGAACAGCCAGGGATACACAGAGAAACCATGTCTTGAAAACCAAACCAAACAAACAAGAAGCTCAAGCTGTAGCTCCGTGGCAGAGGCCTGCCCAGCACGCGAAAGCCTGGGCTCACTTCCCAGCACTGAACAGAACTGGATGTGGTGGTGTGCACCTGTGATCCCAGCACTCCTGGGGTGGAGACGGAAGTGTCAGGAGATTTAATGTTGGAGCTAGGGCTTTTACAGAAAGAAGAGGCCTGGTGTGAGATGGAATAAAGGAATCAGTGCTCTCAGGGCAAGACCCCACCCAGCTAAGCTTCCAATTCATAAAAGGAAAGCGCACGCATGCAAATGCAACTCAAGGAAGGGGCAGGCCAGGTTCCATCAAACAGGCTGCAGGACTCGACGGCTCTGGCCACGTGATTCTGGCTTTAGAATCACGAAGGGCGCAGGAGTAAAGAAAGGGGCCGTGGAATCTTCCTCCATCATCAAGTAAAGCTTTAAGTGGAGCTGTGGTAGGGATTCCCTTTGTGGAGCCCAGAGCCGCCGCCACCGCCTTTGATGAAGCCATGAAAGTGAAGTCTGGGCTGAACTGGAGAGTGCAGGGTTTGGAGATGCCAGAGCTGCGGGCTGTGTTCCCAGGAGAGCTGCAGATGCGGAGAGGAACCGGCCCAGGACAGAGAAGTACCTGTTGACAGTGAACGCAGAGCTACAGGATTGGCCGTTTGCCCTGCTGGGTTTGGTCATGCTTTGCTGCAGTACTCCCTCACTATGCCACAACCCTCCATTTTGGAATGGTCATGTATATTCTGTGCCCTTGTGTGTTGGAAATATGTGATGTGTCTTTGATTTTACAGTTAAGTGTTTGCCTTGAATCTCAGAGGAGACTTTGGATTTTCAAACTGTTGAGACCGTGAAAGACCATGGAGACGTTTGGAGTTGGAATAAATGCATTTGGTATTATGACATGGCCACAAGTCAATGCAGGTCAGGGCAGTGGAGTGGTTCCATTGAGAATGGCTCCCATAGACTCATATTTGCAATGCTTGGCCTCCAGTTAAGGGCACCAGTAGGGAAAGATTAGAGGGTGTGGCCTTTGAAGGAGGTCCGTCACTGGGAAGTGTGACATGGCTCAAGAGCTAAGGCCAAAGTATATCCAAAAGAAGTCTGTGAACTTCCATGACCTGGATCCTGAACAACAGTCTTAGAAATAACACCATAAGTGGCTCCCTCTGACTCTGTTGGAAGAGACCACACCAGTGTTTACACACCAAATCATCAGAGCCCTGAGTCCTAGACTGACAGCTCTCAAGACTCTTGAAACTATATATCTACAAGGGACCTTAGAGCAAACCAGCCTAGAAATGTCTCTCCCAAGAAGCAGAGGACAAGCTAGGAAGGGACAGACTAGCTCATGGATCAATTCTGATCTGTTACTGCAAAACCGCTCCCCCCCCCCCCCCCGTTCCCTATCACTGCCTTGATGCCATCCCTTTCCGTCCAGGAACATACAGAGAACCATGGAAGTTATACCAAGGGTAATGCCATGCAACAAAACAAGCAACAGCTGTTGGATTTCTGGCTAATCAGTGCCTCCAAACCAGGAAGCTACCACTACAGCCAACGTTGTTCCATGTTACTTTCTCCATCACTGTGAAGCCCCAGAGAAGGAGGCAGAGCTCTCTTTGATAAGGTGGACACAACTGTTCTGTGCCTCCTACACGCGAGGGGAATACGGCCTGACTTCCCAGTTACTGATGTAGTCTCGGGCAAATACAGGGAACCGGTCTGTAACATCTGTTAGAGGTAGGTAGATCTCAAGCACCCAGGGCCAAGAATGATCTCTGTGACCACCAAGTCCAGGAAGTTGTCTTTCCACTAAATATGGAGCGTTACTTCACGCTACGGGAGCACTAAATATGTTTTCCACTGGGCCATGTTCGAGAGCTACATAAGCCTAGAAGCCAACAAATTTAACTGGGTTCTGCTCAGATGCCCCAGTATTTCCAAACTCCAAGGCCCAAGACTGGTCTATGGGGATTTCTCCACTCTCCCCAGCCTTTGCATCGCTGAGAACTTGCTGTTTGACCTGGCTCTCTCCTGCCTTCTGAGCTGTTTTCCATTTTCCCACAATCACACCAAAGCGGCCAGCGTCCAAAATTAGTTCCAACAGTTGGGCAAACAGGGTGGCTTCCACTGAAGAAAAATCCTAACCTGATTCCCGGACTGTACTCACTCTGGACACCAGGTGGTGCTGTTGTAGCACTTCCAGCTAAGATTTAAGTTGGGGAAATGGAAGGTGTGCTTTAGGAAATCAGAAGGGCGGGAAGCACTCGGTGGATGAGAGCATTCATGGCATCCATTAGTGAACAGAATTTAGCTTCGCATCTTCTTGCCCGTGTTGTGGGCTTGCGGGTGGTGCTGAGTAAACCGGAATGCTGTACCTAACATCCCCTTGACACCACTACTATACAAGAGTAGTGAAGCTGAGTGTGGTGGCACCTGTAATCCCACAACTCATGGGGCAGGGGTGACTGTGAGTTTGAGGCAAGCCTGGTGCACACAGCCAGTTCCATCAGGCAGGGCTATATAGTGAGAGCCAGTAGGGACAAAGTAATGAAAAGGGAGGCCGAGGAACTGGGAAGCTCAGCAGGGAGAACACGCATGTCAGGTGGACAAGGCCCCGGCTTCAGTTTATAGCGATGATGATGTTGATGAGTCAATAAAATAGCTGATGGTGCTGTTGCTGAATGAATGAATGCCAGAGGAGACCGCTCAGAGGAAGGAAAGGCTGAGTGACTGTGGGAGCAGCTAAGATGCTTTGAAGATGCCCAGGATGGTGGGTTGCAAGCCTGGCTGTCCAAAGACTTTCTTGTTATGCTAGCTAAGAGTTTCTAGGTTCCCATGTGTGTTACCAGAACAATGACAAAAAGACTTTACATCAGTGGGTTTCACAGCCTGCTGTCATTCTTAGTCACCATGACAACCCAAACTGCAATTCTGACCCATAGGAAACATTTGAACTCTCTTTTAATGTAATGTTTGGGTTATTTGATTATGTTCAGTTTGGTTCACAGAGACAGCCATAAGGACTGTGCTGAGTTTCATGGTATTATTTTCTTGATAGCATCATGTTCTTTTTCCCATTGTGTCATAGCCCTTAGGAGATGTAAGCAGGGCCAGGCACGGTGGTGCACAAATATAATTCTAGTCCCAGGAGGCTGAGGCAGGAGAATGAAGAATTTGAAACCAGCCTGAGCTATATAGCTTGCTGGGGCACGGGTGTCCCTATCCAGCCATCCTTTGTAGTTTAAACAGTAAACAAGAACAAAGAAGCAGAACCGTGCAGTGAATGGAGACTCGGTGTAGACCCATCCATTATGGTGGTGACAGAGAGCTTTTCAGTGCTTACTTACGCTTTCAGCCAGTCTCTCAAAGAGGGGGAACCCAACCCACAGCTCCCCCAGGTCCCAATTTCCAAGTAACAGGAAATTTCAGCTTCCAGGCTTTGGCCAAAGCGCTTCATTTTGCTCTACGGAAACATTAAAGGTGCTGCAGCACTGGGTTCAATAGTATCGTGGGCAGAGAGAGCCACGTCCCAGTTCAACCACTAAAACACCTGCCCTGGAGACCAGGAAAAAGCTCCTTTCCTCGTGGGCCTCATTTCCTATTTGCAAAACCAAGTGGATGGCCACCGAGACGGGGAAAGGCTAGAAAAGCCAGTTTATTGTGTAGTAATTTATAGTTCAGAGTGCAGTGGCTACACACCCAGGCAAAGCCAGGGAAGTTTGGTGCAATTGGAAAATAGCACAATCAATTTCCAAGCGGACAGTAACCCGCAGTGATTAAATTAGCGCCCAGGAGATAGCTGATGGGCCCGAAGTGCCCAGAGTCACAGCACGTGCAGGGGGCGAAGGTGAGTCCAGCCGGGGAGGGCAGGTCCCCTGCGGGAGGCTCACGCCCCAGCCTGGGAGGGTGCAGCCTCAGCTCTCACCAGCCCCAGGAAGGCGGCATACAGGACCGCGGTGGAGAACCAGCGCAGCTCGCTCCTGGCCCGGCCGCTCCTCCGGGAGGTCGCCGCCTTCTGTTCATTCTGCGTCGGGGTCTCGGCCTGGAGGAGCCGCTGTGCGGCAGCCGGGGCCCCAAACCCACGGAATTCCACTTCCATCTCCAGCTTGGCCACCCCAGGCGACTGGTTTCGCCGCTGCTGCCAAGCTTTGGGGCAGATCCCTCTGGAGCTCGCGTCCTTCCCGGCCGGCCCCGAGGTTCCGCCCAGTGTCTGTCACCTTCCCCCAGGGACCGTTCAGAGCCAGGCCAGGGAAACTTGGACTTCGTACACGACTGTGTTGCAAGAGGAAGACAGTCCAGTCCCATCTTGCACAAGCCTGAGCCATCACGTGACGAAAAGGCGGCTCCAGCCAACGAGGGCGGAGTCTCCAGCTGGAAACAGCTGGGTTCCCTGGAGACCGCGGGTGGCTTTCCTGCCAGCCTGTCACCTGTCAGAGCGGCAGACACCGGGCGACTGACGGGTGCCGCGTGGCGGAGAAGTTTGGAAGTGCAGCTTCGGGGCTGAGGAGGGAAAATGTGCCCTGCAGGCCAGTCTTCCCAGCATTTGGGATACTAAGGCAAGAGAGCGACTATTTAGAAGTCAACATGGGTTACATAGCCATACCCTGGCTCAAAATGAAGCAAAAGGGTGTGAATATTGGAGGTATTTGCGCCTGTTTAAGCCCAATAGTGCTGGGGGCTTCTGAGAGTCCCTGGGATTCATGGACCACCCCCTAACACCCCCAGGTCCTGCCTGCTCCGGGGTTCTATGACTCAAAGCCAAGCATATGCACAGTGAACCAAGTTAATGGTTATTGCAGTAGTTATCACAGGAGAGGAAGGTAGCGCTCCCTTCTCTTACCGCGGCTAAGAAGGCAGAAGCCAGTACAACGCTGTACAAAATGCAATAAATGAGGGGCCCAGAAAAAGTGAGCGTACCAGCAGGTCAGGAACAAAGATCCCACGTCCCAGAATACACTGACTGCGCAAGGTCCAGGAGGACTGCGTATGTACAAACAGTGAAAACGATTTGAGGCGCTTTACCTCCGAGCTCCCCAGCCCATGACATTTTAATGTCAAGACCAGCAAACTTGACCTTAGTCAACACCTTTGAAACTCCTGGTTCTAGTATCAGCTTCTTGCATTCTGGGCTAAATGAAAGCGCTCTTAAATTTGTGGATCTAGAAAGACATTAAAATGAAGTAATGATTGCAGTTGGCAGTCTGAAAAGTGAGTGAAAATGCTGTCCTCTGAAACAGACAGCTGTTCAGAAATGAACTCGCTGTGAGAAAATGCAAACAATTACATTCCAAGACCTGTGCTGTGTGCCTGTGCCTATCAGCTGTCACCGCTCCCAATGCACAGAGCAACAGCTGTGGCTTCAATGTAGATCCAGCCGTGGGAGGGGCGAGGGGACAGGACTGTTGCAGATGCTACTTCCTTATCACAGGGATGGGGACGCAACTCTACAAGGAAGAGCAATGGGCGGCGCGGGGGGGGGGGGCTGGGACCATCGAGTAGTCAGTGACAGCATTCTAGCTGCTTACAGGTGGATCCCCGTGGGCTGCTAGACGGCCTCGGCTCTCGATGTCTTAACAACTGCAGACACTGAGACCCCAGAAAGAGAAGAGGCACGCAGAGACACGCAGGTGCTCTGATGGAGACATATGGGTCCCCTGTGCTTTGCTATTGCCGTGAACAGCGTGACCAAAAGCACCTCTGTGGGGATTTGTTTCACTTGCACTTTGCAATCACGAGGGAAGCCAAGGCAGGAGCCTGGAGCAGAACCTCACACGGACACCCTGGAGTGCTGCCTACTGTGTTGGTCTTCTTGGCTGCTTCCTTATACACCCCTAACCACTGACCGGTTGGCACTGGCTGCACTGGGTTGGACCCTCCCACCTGGATCGTTACCACGACAATGATCCCACAGACTCGCCCACAAGCCAACCTGATGGAGGCAGTTCCTCAATCCAGGCCCCTCTTCCCAGGTGACTCTAGTTTGTGTCAAGTTGACAACAACTAACCACACTTCAGGGTAGAAACTCAGGCCACACGGCCCTGGACATCTGGGGAGCAGAAGGAGTCAGTCAGGGATACATAGAGAGATTCTGTCTCAAAAAAACAAAATTGTAGTGAGACTTGTCTTTGGGCCCCCAACCAGCTCCCAAATACAGAAATGGATACTTATTATTAATTCTGAATCTCAGCCTTAGCTTAGGCTTGTCACACTACTTCCTTTAACCTAATTTGACCTGTTCCTGTTCATCTACCCTTTGCCTTGGGGCTTTTTACTTTCCCTTCATTCTGTATACCCCACTTTTCTGCTTCCTCTGAGTCTGACTGTCTCGTCCCTGGTGTCTCCCTGTTGTTAAGAGTGTGTTTTTCTGCCAGCCTGGTCTCACAGCTGCACCAGCCCCAAATAACACACAGAGACTCTGTACTAGATAGAAAGATGTTAGCCAGTTACTATCATTTCATATCCGCTAGCTCTGTCTTAAATATTAACCCATTTCTATTAATCTACGTATTTCCACGTGGTCTCACCTTACCGGAGAGAGAGTCCAGCATTCTTCTCTCCTTGTCCTACATCTTGAATCTCCTCCCTACTTCTTCCTCTCTCCTTCTAGTTTCCTAGTCCCGCCTATCTTGCTTTCCTATTGGCCAACAGTGCTTCATTCATTAACCAATAAGAGAAACATATTTACAGAATGACATCTGCCATCACCCTGTTGTCTCTTCTTACTCTCCCTGCCCAGAAGGTCTGCCTATACCTCTTCCCTTTCTATTGGCTACTCAGCTTTCTATTAGACCAACCAGGTGCTTTAGGTAGGCAAGGTAAAACAGCAACACATCTTCACATAATTAAACAAAGTAAACACATTTGTACATATTAAGCAACTATTCTGCAACATAAAACCACATACAAAAAATAGGACAGCACAGCGATCAGCTTTTCCACTCCTGGACACATTCCAGGGAGACAGCAGCACCTACTCATAGTAGGAAGGAGATGGAACCAGCCTAGCTCTAGCCCATCAACAGATGAATGATACTGAGATTGTGGTACATAGCCACAGGGGAACTTCCCTCAGTAAAATGGGTGGAAACTGTAAAACATTCTAGGGGGTAACAGGCCCAGAATGACAAACGCTACATGTTCTCATGCAAGGGTCTTAGCCTCTAACTTTATGTGTGTTTATTTATGTGAAGTCGGTGTGGGTAGAGGCCAGGAAACTGGAAAGGGGCCTATGAGGAGAGAAAACAAAGAGGCTTTAGGTGAGGGTGTAGGAAGAGTAATATAGTACATGTGAAATGTGAAATGCAGGCAGAGAGGGAACACTGGGCACAAAGGGGGCAAATGAGGCTGGAGGCAGGAAGATGGAGAGGGCACAGGGACATCAACTAAAGCTAAGGACACGGAAAAATCCATAAGGAAATGTGGTACTTTATGTGCTGATTTAATAAGAAAGTAGAGTGTGTCATGCAGGAGAATGGCAGTATTTTAAGGTCTTTTCTATTTAGTATAGGTGGTGAGCATAAATGATGTGTGTAAATAACTCCAGGATTCATGCGGTGGCAGATTAATAAAATACAATGGACTACTCACATTTTGGTGGCTGCAAAGCAAAAATAGATATAGCCAAGCAATGAAAGAGTTAAGAACGTTTTGTTACTTGTAGCACACTAGAAGAGCTTGGAAGTTATTTCCAAAGCAATGCCCTCTTTGAACAAAGTATGAGGACCTCATTCATGAAGCTAATTCATACAGGTGCGCTTATTCTTGTTACAGGATATCTGATCACATTGTGAACTCAGAGATTGTTATAGTTACTGGAAAAACCTGTTTCTAGTTGTGGTGTAGCTCAGCCCTAGCACACACCTTTAAGCCAAGAATTTTCTGCTTGAATAATGTAAACAAAATTAAATAAAGTCAACCATAGGTCAAAAGGATGAACACACAATCAGTTGACAGAAATTGAACATAGGATTTTCAAGAAAAAAAAAAATATAAAATGTAAGGAGGAGTCAGGACAGATGGAGAATAGGCAGGACGCAGAAAGGGGGAACATTCAGTTTGAGGAGTATTAGGGGCTTGGTGGGAGGTGGGGCCTGTGGACTTGGACTTTTGAACAATACTGGTGTTAGGACTCGTTAGTGCAACTGGCATTTTGTGCGGTAAAACAGATTTGCTCTTTGTGAAACAGGGTAGGGCAGAGTGGCATAGTCTGAGCCGCAGATGTCCGCAGCACTCCAAGGGTTAGGCATGTGGTCCTTAGAGTGGGACATTTAGGACTTTAAGAGGGGCCCCTTGTGGGAGACCTTTATGTCACCATGTGCATCTCTTAAAGTAATTAGGGACTCTGGCTTCCTTTCACCCTTTTCTGCGCCCTGGGCATTGGATGACTTTGCATCATTTGGGCACTGGATTTTATTCTGTTTTGTACTCTTGTCCCCAGGCCCAAGAGCAGCAGAGTCAAACAATCATGGACCAGAATCACCAAAACTATGAGCCTAAAAAAAAAAATCACCAAAACTATGAGCCTAAAGTCCCCTCTGTTTATAAGCTGATCATCCCAAGTGTCTGTGTAGTTACAGGACTCTGTTCACACTTCGGTTTGTGGAACCCAAGTGAATTTTTCAGTATGGGTTTCATCTTTGAATCTCTTAAAGTAGATGTTGAAGGCTGAATCCACATTTAACAAGCGTCAAAGTGGCCAAAATAGATAGACAGACAGACAGACAGACAGACAGACAGACAAAAAAGAAAGCGTGCTACTGTCTAGGACAGTGGCATTCTGAATGGGAATGGCCCCTGTGGCCCTGTAGGCTTATATATTTGAATGTTTGTTCCCCAGGTGGTGGCTGTCTTAGAACTGTTAGTAGGATGGTGGTTTGAATAAAAATAGCCCCCATAGGCCCACAGAGAGAGGCACTATTAGGAGATATGACCTTGTTGGAGGAAGTTTGTCACTGTGAGGGAGCTTTGAGGTTCTGAAGCTCAAGCAGATCTCTGAGTTCGAGGCCAGCCTGGTCTACAAAATGAGTTCCAAGACAGCCAAGGGCTACACAGAGTAATCCTGTCTTGAAAATCCAAATTAAAAAAAACAAAACAAAACCCGTGCCATTTCCAGTTAGATCTCTCCTCTCCCCCCACCCCCCCCTCTCTCTCTCTGCCTTGAGATTGTTGTCTCAACATGTAAACTCTCGATAGTGGTCCGGCATCATCATGCCACCTGCCTGATGCCAGGCTTCTTACCATGATGGCTATGAACTCTAACAGTCTGATCCCATGAGCCCCAGATTACA